CCATATTTTATGTGAGCAAAAGCTTAATTGAGGCTGAGAAGAGATATCCACCGACTGAGAAACTCGTGTTAGCTTTAGTAACGGCCAAGCGGAAACTTCGACAATACTTCGAGGCACACACGATCATCGTATTGACGACCCAACCAATCAGGGCGGTCATGTCCAAGCCAGACCTCTCAGGAAGAGTTACAAAGTGGGCCATCGAGCTTGGAGCATTCGACATTAGATATCAACCTCGGACAGCCAAGAAGGGCCAGGTAATTGCCAATTTCATAGTGGAATGCTATCCATCTAACAAACAGCAGGAAAACCGTGATGAGGCCAAGGAGGCACCAAACCCGGACAAGGCCCAATGGGAATTGTATGTAGACGAATCATCTAATCAGGCAGGAGCCGGAGTCGGGATCGTCCTCTCGTCACCTGAAGGAGTGGACCTGGAGTACTCCGTCCGATTAGACTTCCCTGCCTCAAACAACGTGGCGGAATACGAAGCCCTAGTGTTAGGACTCCAACTAGCTAGGACACTGAAGGCGGAACGCCTAGTTGTCCATAGCGACTCTCTCCTCATAGTCGGCCAGATAACTGAGGAGTACACGACTAAGGATGAACGAATGGGGGCATATCAACAGTTGGTAAAAGATTTAGCCAGTGGGTTCGAGGAAGTAGAGTTTGAACGAATACCGAGAGAAATGAACGTTCAGGCAGATCACTTGGCCCACGCTGCATCAACATCGGTGGAAGACATGAGGGTCGCCCCGGTAGGACTCTTATCGAGTCCTAGTATAACTCCAATTGATCCTAGAGTTATGCAGATTGATGTCGAAGAAGAAACGTGGATAACTCCAATCATGAACTATCTCACGAAGGGAACCCAACCCGATGACCCGATCGAGGCAAGGAAATTGCGAATAAAGGCCGCAAGGTATGCCATTATAGATGATACTCTTTTTCGTAAGTCTTTTTCAGGGCCGTATCTCAGATGCCTCGATCCACGTGAAGCCGAATGGGTGCTAAAAGAAATTCACCAAGGGACATGTGGGAACCACACGGGTGGGAGAAGCTTAGCCCACAAGGCGTTGACCCAAGGATATTTTTGGCCTTATATGGCCCGCGATGCAGAGCAATTTTCAAGGAAATGCGATAAATGTCAAAGGCATGCGCCCCTTATCAGGCAACCAGCCGAGGAACTCAACCCTGTTGTAGGGCCTTAGCCATTCGCCCGATGGGGGATGGACATCGTGGGACCACTTCCCACCGCAGTGGGGGGCAAGAAATTCGTCCTTTTGGCCACTGATTACTTCACCAAGTGGGTGGAAGCCGAAGCTTACAAAACAGTGACCCAAACAGATGTGGTAAGATTCGTATGGCGGAATATAATTTGTCGCTTTGGGATACCAAGGGCCATAGTGA